AGAAACATGGGTGGAGGACTAGGACACTCTCTTCTTGCTTACAAAAGTGCATTGCAAGGAATAGGAAAGCTTCAGGTTTGATATTGCATTAAACTACCAATTTCTTGGGAAAGCACATAATTGGGAATTGTTTGTGTGCTATGTTTATCCAATAAAGTCCAGCACAGCTAAGTTGAAAGCTTGTCATGCTCGCTCTTTACTTTTAACTCATTTTCATATCCAGGTCAATGAAGCTCGCTTGAGTGAAGACTTGGACCAATCATGGGAAGTGCTTGCTGAACCAATACAGACTGTATGTATCTTTTTACTTTGGTCCTTATCCTATACTTCTCTATGTAATAAGATGTATTTACTGGTTAGTACTTCCAACATTACTACACTAGTGTAGCATGGACGGGATGCTAGTGACTGAGTATAATCATCCCTAAGTACCAACAAACATATAGTTGCTGGATAGTATATGGGAATTCAGTAACACTGTTAGGATAGATATTTTCTATTGCAAGGCGGGTTCTTGGATTCTTTTGGGTGAAAAATGGTGATGATTCAATTGCATTTCATAATCATTTGTCCTTTTTTCTTTGGTCGGTAGGAACAAAATCCCCAAAACATTTCTCTTCTTGAGGTTCTCTTGATGTTGTATATAGAATCTGCATCCTCCTGTTACTGTCTTTATCCTCCCTTTCCAACATCTCTGTAACCATCGTTGCTCTTTTCATTTATCTCTGTAGATCATGCGGAGATACGGCGTTCCAGAGCCTTACGAGAAGCTGAAGGAGCTGACAAGAGGAAGAGCAGTCACCAAAGAAAGTATACAAGAATTTATCCAGGGCCTGGAATTGCCAGCAGAAGGAAAGACACGGCTTCTGAGTTTAACACCGCATTCCTATGTGGGAGCAGCTACTGAATTGGCCAGAACAGTAGATTCAGCTGTTGAATTGATAAGGAAAATTGACAATATGTAGTAGTATAATCTCTGCTGTAAAATTCAAACAATTTTGGACTTTCTTATTGAGTTGCCCTGAAAATTTCCCAATTTTCCCTTGTCATCTTTCTTGATACCAATATCGGAAGATAACAAGGAATAATTTTTTTTTCTCAGTTTTTCTAGATGAAAGCTGAAGCTTTTTTTTTTTTTTTTTGGACAGAGGAAGCTCAAAATTTTTGTTCTCTATTCCAGAATAATAATTTTTTAACTTTTACTCTTTTTTTTTTTCAAATAAAGAATTTCACAATAATTTATGCTTTTATCTATATTATTTTTAAAAATAAAAATAAATAGAAATTTTTGTTCACTATTCCAGAATAATAATTTTTTGACTTTTACTCTTTTTTTTTTTTCAAATAAAGAATTTCACAATAATTTATGCTTTTATCTATATTATTTTTAAAAATAAAAATAAATAGAAATTTTCGCTATAAGATTGATGGTTAGAGTTAAAGGGATGATAAAGGGTTTAAAGTAGTGAAAAATGTATATCCATCTTAAACTATGAAAAAATAGCAATTACCTTAAATAAAAAGTAAGAATAAAAGCACTTGGCTCTAGAGGTCCACTTGCACTAGTCAATTAGTTGATGCATTTATCTCCTCTGGAGGTTTCAAACCCATCCCTTGCAAAAAATATTCAAAAAAAAAAAGTAAGTATAACAAAAACAAAAAATACAATTTAAATTGTAAAAATTGTATTGTATTAATTTTATAGGCGACACTAAGAACAAATATAAAAGTTCATTTTTTGTTTTCTATAGCATGAATTAATTTGACGTGTCGTAAACGTATGATATAACCACCAAGATGCAGATGTCTGACCCCACCATTATCTAATCTCTGGGTATGAAAGGGCAAAAAAACCCTTCTTAAGTCCCTAAATTACCATTTAAGCCCTTAAACTAAAAACAATGCATATAAAAGCCTTCAAACTCTTCAATTGGTACAAATAAACCCTTTATGATTAATGGCAATTTAACGTGAACTAATTTCATTTGACGATACTGATGTGGCGATGTAAGTGCTAAAATGGATAAAAATGTTATTTAATTTCTTTTGATTTCTTTTTTATTTTAAGTAATAATATAAAGACTATTTTTATATAATTTTTATCTATAATTAAATTAATAAATACATACAATATCAAAATTTTAATTTAGTGCAAAGAGTTGATTATTAAATAAATGTAGAGTTATATAAAGATGTTATTTTTAAATTATTATTTTTTTATATATTTAGAATTTTCAAGACTCTGGTAGGACTTCAAAATCCATCCTCATCAGCATTTAGAACAAACAGAAGGGAAAAAAAGGAGTCATCCCAGCTGTTCGGGCAGTTAATAAAAGGCTTATTTGTACTAGTAGAGGAGTTGAAGGGCTTATTTATATGGTTTTTAGTTTATGGACTTCAATGCTAATTTAGGACAAATTTAAGGGCTTAAAAGGGATTTGCATGATATTCTTCCTAAAAGGCTAAAATATCCTAAAAGCAAATGTTTGATTCCTAGTGAGAAAGTGTTGTGGGGGATAAAACTTAATTAGAGTGCACAAACCTAAATAGAGTCGAACTCTCGATGCTGAGACCGCCTCGTCGTCCAATAGTTTTTATTTTAGAATAAGGTAAAGTTTGTACAGTAGAACAGGGTACTACCATTAATAGTTTAATACATGGTTTTGAAGCGACGAATTAAATAATTTAATGATTATTTTTTTATTTAAAGTAAAAAATCATAAATTTATGTCATATATGGTATAAATGAGATGTGATAAAGATAAAAAATAATTATTTATCACTGGATATTTAAAATAAAAAAAAATGGTCCTCAAAAAACTAATGATATGGGAATGGGAGCACTGAATGACGAAAGTACCCTTGGTCTTGGATTTCAACTGAAAGGACTGAAGAGTCCCACATGTACATCCATGGCTGCCACTGGTAAAACCATACGCAATCATCACCATCTTACAAAAAAGGAAGCTTCTTCACGAGACAGACATAAAAAATATCTCTCTGCACTTTCTACTGCTCAATGATTCATAATCTCATCCGTAGCTCCTTTACAAAGGTCCCCATTTCTTCAATGTCTCTCTCAGTTTCTCCCTTTCTCTCTCCTCGACTCCTTCTCTCTAGTCTCAGATGGTTGAATTGAATTGGAATAAGAAAGCATTGATTTTTTGTTAATGTTTGCACTGAATTTGATTGGTTTGGTGTTGTCTTATGGTTGTTCTCCCTGTTGTTATGATCGATATATATATATATTTATTTATTTATTTTGGTTACAACTTTTTTTTGTCATGCTGTGCGTTGATTGGGAAAATCTGATTTTGATCACAGCAATTGAGAGTGAAATCATTTAATTAGTTGAAGATCTGGAGACCCTTTTGGTAGTTTTTTGAATCTGGATGTTTAGTTGGTTATATAGTGTGAAAATTGATTGGATCTTTGGTTAACTGGATCTTGTCTTGATGTTGGGTCGAAGAATTTAGATCAATGATTATAAACAAAAATGAAAATTTAAAGATTGGAACTTTTGATGCTACATGACTTCATTAATTCTGTCTGTGGAAGCGAGGAAAGTTTTTAGTTTTAGGGAAGGTGGCATTTATGTCTTGCTTTTCAGTAACCATCTAGTCAAAGAAGTCTGTATGAGTTGCCGGTAGGTCCTATCTTGTTAGATGAAGCTGCTTGTGGCCTATAGGATGATGGTGTACAAATGATTTGCTGTTTTCGGTTGCAGGTGACACTTCTCTTCTGTCATTTGGAAGGGATCTGGATCTGGAGATATTTACAGCCTCATATTTGAGAAGATAGTTTCTGGTTAGATAAAAAAATGTCAGCTTACGCCCATCAAATGGAGCGGGAGTACTCTGCCCGGAGTCTCTCAAGTAGAGGAGATTCAGGTGTGTTTACTTTACTTTCAGAGATATGTAGAATTCTCTGAAGCAATGAGGATAGCGTATGTGGTCAAAATGATAATTGTGCAGAGAATTTCTGCATATCATGGTTAGATTGCAGTTGGTGCAATCTACTTATATTCTATTGGTGAAATCTTTAATATCTTGTTAGTAATAGCTAGGGCCAATGGTATTTAATTCTGATTTTTTTTTTTTGTTTGTTTTGTTTTGGTTTTTCTCCTTAGGAGGAGAAGGGGGAAGTCACTATGTCGAAGAGTCAGGCTTCTACATGACTTCTTTTGCTGCAACAATTTTCATTGGTGCTCTTGTAACTTTTGGGGTTTTGTTGTTTACGTTGTTGATTACGTTAGCAGTAATGTTGCAGTCCTGTCAAAGTAGGAGCAAGGGAATTGTTGAGATTCAGAAATCAAGTAATCATCTCAGCCATTGCAAAATTTTTGAACTACATGCAGAACTCAACAGCTTGGAGGCCTATGAGCTTCCTCCAGTCTGCAGGAGTCTTGCTATTGAGTATATCAGAGAAGGACAATATGCAAGGGATTTGAATTTCACAATGTGGATGATTGAGAGTTATTTCAATTCCCTTATGCCACCATTGCATGGTGGTCCAGATGTAGTGCTGATGGACATAGATGACATTTTTTCTCCAGATCCTCACATTAATAGATTAATGAACCGGTAATTCCCCCAATTCTTCAACACATTTGCTATGTCTTGGATTTTTCCATTGTTCTCCATCAGTGGTATCATTTGATATCAGGCATGCAATTGAAACTGTTAATGATTTCCCTGTTTCTTTTTCTGGGGAGAACATGTTGATGCCAGTAAAACAAGATATGCATGCCTTCACTAGTTTTGCCTTTCATATTTTGATGAGTTGATGAGTATTGCTTTGTATTTATCATGCTTTATCATGCATTACTTCAAATTCATTCTGGGACAGATTTGACCAGTATGGCTGTAATGGTTGCATTGAAGATGCTAAACAAATGAAGCACTTGCTTACCTTGCAATTATACATAAGACTTCGTTCTAGGGGGTGGCCATTGATTCTATTGTCAAGGAAGCCTGAGAGAGTACGAAATTCCACTGCTGAGCACCTTATTTCTGCAGGTTACAGCAGTTGGTTTTCTCTGATCATGAGGTATTGTTATTACTTATTACTCCTCTCATTGAACCTTGTTTATAAATTATTGGTTTGAAAACATCTAGAAATCCCACATTGCAAGGACTGGATTGAAAGCATATCCTTATCTTGCTTGATGAATATCTGTATGCTGCTTACTTCAGTGCGTTCGCATTTTAAGGTGTCTAGACAATTGGTTTCAATTATTAGCATTCTTGCAGGTCAGATGATGAAATGCAAATGGTTACCAATGAATACTTTTCCAGACGAAGGGCAGTTCTGCAGAAGGAAGGATTGAACATAATTGGTGTGATTAGTAGCCGCATGGATTTTTTTACAGGCTTAAATTTGGGAAAGCATGTTTTTAAGCTTCCAAACCCTATATACTACAAACTTGAGGATCAAATCGAAACCTGGAAACTTTCAGAATAGTTGATCTGTGGGGCTGGCCTTAGCACAGCCATCTAGGACTTCAAGGTTGAGTATTGTGTTCAACTTCAGTGTTGACACTTCAAGGTCACAAAACATGTTATAATCAGCCCTACCATCTGAGAACATTTGATCTTGTATGAGTTCACAATGTATACCCTTTTTTTTGGCGTGTGTATAAACAACTAAATGAGGGGTTTTTTGTGTGTCTAAGGTGGTGGCACTTATTGAAAAAATGCAGTTGACAACATGAATTCCCCCATGGACTCAAATTACAGCTCATACAGATCCAAAAACCACAGCTGCTCAAGTATGAACTCATTTTTAAAGTGGCATTTCGTGGTCAATTATTGCATGGTTGGGATGCAAAATCGAAGAAAATAAATAGTAGAGTAGATGCTTTTTATCAAGAAGTGCTAGTTCCTAGCAATGTCAAAGTTTCTATGGCACGTTATAAAAGGTAATATAGATTTTGGAGAAGCCTCAACAGATAGTGAGTGCTCTCAGAAAGTCATGTCGCTAACTGTATCTTGAATGCCGAATACAATTGCACTCAAGGGCCTGAGCCAGGATGGAGTTAAAAGTTTTCAGCTACCAATTCCACATACACTCTGAGTTTAAAAAAAAAAAATTAAGAACAAGCACGGTATATGAAGATCAGAAACAACATCTTATTGAAGTCTCATTATGTTAGAATTCACATTAATGTAGAATGTACATAACGAACGGCTTCAAGATAGAAAACTTCAGCTAATGTTATATGCTTCTACAGAAATTTGCTCAAGAGGTTTGCCCCACTCAGTGTTTATGTACACTCAACCATCATTAGTGCTTATGCATTCAGCAATACAGAGCTAGAAAAGAGCTAAATCAGATGGTTTCTGGCAACATTGTAAGAGAATGGGAATGGCATCCCTACAAAAACCAATGGAACCAGAAAAAGATTCAAGCCCTAAAATACCATATCAAGGGAGTATTTCACTGCAAAACCCACTTATTCAAGGAGATTCAAACGCCAGTCACCGCTAGGAAGAAGAACCAAAAGGGGAAACACCACAATCAACGAAGTTAGTTCAATCAAAATTCAAAACCCATGACCTTCAAAGGGGAATGCCACCACCAGAAAGAAGATCACGACCGAGGATCACTACCAGAAAGAAAACCACCAGGGCCACAAAATTTTTCTTCTCTGCATCCCCTGCTCCAGAATAGTCGACCTTGTACTTCTGGGTCATGTTCTGAAACAAAATGCCCCAATTCTTGCTCCCTCCCTTCAAATCACCGTCAAACAGTTCGTATATGTACAACTCCGAAACCCCTTCTTTTCTCAACGGCGTGCCTAAGCCAGATTTCAAGTGGTGCACGAGCCCTTTAAGGTACATCTCAGCATAGAAATCCGTGGCGTCGACCTCTCCGGTGTCAATTCCAGCACTCGGCCATCCGGTCTCTGCCACAATCAACGGAACATTCTCATGTCCCGACACCGCCAGTGCACTGATCACTGCGTCCACCATCATGTCAAAAAGATTCCTGTACCTTACTCCTGTGATTATATCATCCCTAAAATTCCAAGGATGATCTTGAAACAGAGCAAACCCGATTGGAATCTCACAGTTGAGTTTGTACATGTTATAGGGATAAAGATTCACCAAGAATGACGAATTAGTATTTTCCAAGAACTGGAGTAATGGATTGAGGATGAGGTCACCTGCGGGTTGCTGGAACTGGGCGGCAGATGGCGGAAAAGCGGTGGTGATGATGTTAAAGAAGGAGAAGGTCGTGGAGACGGGGATCTTCTTGATGCCAAGATCTACGAGCGCAAAGCGTAAGTTCCGAATGGCAGGGAGGACAAAAGGGGAAACGTCAGGGGAAGAGTTGAAGATATCGTTCCCAACAGAAATCAGGGAGATCTTGGAGCGGGGGTAGAAAGGGAGAACGTGGCGGTAGATCCAGCGGAGGGCGGCGGAGCGATTGGATGCGAGGGCTGGAACCATCGGCTCGGGAATCCCGAGCAGGAGTGAGATGTTGGTGTAGGCGAAAGCTCGGATTAGGGCTGGATCCGAGTCTGGGAGGCGGACATATGAGAACCGGAGAGAGTCGATCGTTTCCGCTACGTGGGCCGGCAGCCGCGAACTCGAGGCGGCGGCGGCGGGAGTAGTGGAAGGAGGGAAATACGTGACGCCGATGGAAGGAAGCGAAGTGCATCCATGGAGCAGAGAAAGGAGGAAGAGGAAGAGGAAGAGGAAGGACGGCGGAGACATGGCGACAATCTTCTTGTGAGGGGGGAGAACTGAGAAGCGGTCGTCGGAATCTGGAAAGGCAGAGTGGTATGAGGCTTAGGGATTCTGAGAAGGCAGTTAGGGAAGCGCGGGAGGTGTGCTGCTGACGTGGAGGCTCAGTTCCTTGTGAGACGGTTGCATTGGCGGGAAAGGTTTGTTACGGAATGGGAGATTGTCTGCGGCTCAGTGTATCTTTAGGTTTCATCCCAAACCGTTCATAATGGTCAAAAGAAATTCTCGGCCGTCCATCAGGTGACATGTCTTGGCTTGAGAGGGAAAAAAGGAACAATCAAAACTCCTTTTTTATTATTATTATTATATTTATATGAAATGTGTTTAACAAATTTCTAAAAAATAATGGGGAAAATTTAAAATTACCTAGAAGTATATCATT